AATTTATATCGATTCTTGTAACAGATATTGGAAATTGGTCAACTGATAAAATGTTTTTGAAGTTATAATGAGTATTTTATCAGTGAACAACTTTTTGATATATTTTACAGGAGCAGAGATAAAGTGGCTCAAAGTGCAAGTATAGGGTGGCCTTCTATTAGAGTGTTTGAGGTGTTTGATTTTTGAGCTTGGAGACAGTATTGGCTCTTAAGTTAGTTAAAAGGTTCTCAATATCAATGATAACAGAGATTACTGATCAAGAACTAGAAAAAGCTTATATTATGGTCCCACAATGACAATTACCGTAACCTAAGAATATTGTTTTCCGGATTTATTTTCTTGTTTTTCACTTTTTTGCCGGCTTTTCTGCTATTTTCAACCAGAAGATGGGTAAATTAAAATTTTTGACAGTAAAAAAATAGTTGACAGCGAATATCTTGTTAAATTTTTCTTAAAGGCGCACAAGCGAACTACAGTAGTTTTTAGCCTGTTTTTTATTTTGATTTCCTATTTTCTCAATTTTTCAACGATTTTCATCGTTTTTTCAATGTAAATCAAGGAAAAATTCTTTGAAACAATGAAAATCATCGGAAATTGATAAAATAGGAAAACAATATTCAAATACGCTCATAATACGGTAGTATTCGCTCTTGTGCTTTTAAGGAAAATTTAACGAGGTATACGATGTCAACGAGCATTGATTGAACGAATTCGATAAGATCAATTAGATGTTTATGACCCGCAAAATTTAAAACCGACATTTGGAAACTGGGAAAATTTGAAAGGTTCACAGTAGAGCGTATTTCTCTCATTCAGTAAAATGAAATTTTTCAAAAATTTCAAATTTTGAGTTTCTCTTTCTCCTCCTCTATCACTTTCCCTGTTTTTTTTTCCTGCCCATTCCACCTCGTTCTGCACCGGTCTCTGCCCGGCACACGCACCTGGCCATTCTCTTTTTCTCATCATCATCATTCCCCATCTCTCTTTCTCTCTCTCTCTCCTCTTCCAACACTTTCCCCTTCTTCTCACCCACCACCTATCATCACAAAAAATTCTCCAATCTTTTTTTGTTCTTTGCAACTTTTCTTACTTAGCAAATTCTCTTCCAGGTAACCGGCAAGTCAATCAATGAAATAATTTTCTTGTGTCGAAATTCTTAAGAAGAGAAACTATAATAAAAAAAGGTAAGAAAATTAACACTTCTTATCAGTTCCCCTTCTTTTCCAATCAACACAATCGACTTTCTTTTTTTTTCTAGAATAATAATATGCCATCGAGCACTTCTTCTTCTTCTCCATCATCGTCTTCTGAAGACGACAAACATACGTCGGCCGAAGACGAAGACGTCACTCCGAAAGCGTCTCCAGTAGCCGTTGCTAGAGACGACGCCGATGAAGATGCCGACAAAACATTGACGATGCCGTCCACTAGTCAGGGATACCAGGTTTGTTCTTTTTAAATAGAAAAATTTGAAGGAATTGCACTGAAAAAAAACCATTATTCGAACTTCGCTCTCTTTCGGTATGCGCACGCGCGCTCCACCGCACACCGTTTTCGCCGGGAATTCAAACAAAATACGCCTATTCTCCCTTTTTTGCCCTTTTTCCATCTTTACCCACTCGTATTCTACTCCTTTTTCCCACAAGAAAAATGAGAGGTGGGTCGTCATACTCACACAATCTCTATAAAACCGATAATAGGCGCAACAATATATTGTTTTTTCCAGCCGGACAAGACATCACCAACGGAAGGAGAATCCGCACCGGCCAGTCAAGAGGCGACGTCTCCAGCGACCGCAAGACGAGAGGCAACTCCTGTCGTCGAGCAAGAGTACTATTATTTTACGTAAGTTTTTGTTTTAAAAATTTTTAGGTCGCAAATTATCGACTTTCAGCACTGATATGGCAAATCAAGCCGCACTAGACATCGAAAAGGAAAAAGAAAAATTCGATTCACTAATCACCTGGTACAAACACCATCACGAGGACTATCCGAACCTCGGAACGTGCTCCGTCGGCACCTCTTCAGCATCCTACGCCAGTGAAAAAGGCTCAACTACACCAATGTCTTCCCAGCCGTCATCTCATCAGAGCGGCACGAGCAATGCAGCGCTAAACGGACAAAATGGATTTAATTATAGCCCGGTGAGAAAATCCTAAAACGGAAAAATGCAACCTCAAAAAGTTTGATTTTCAGTATGCATTCGAGAATAATCCAAATTCCAACGATCCAATGCATTGTATGACCTCTCCCGTCAATTTGGAAGATATTTGTCCGACTATAGAGGATTTTGTGTCTTCTTCATCGGCTGGTCCATCGACTTCAGCGGCTGCTGCGGCTGTGAATTCTCCAGCAACAACTTCGGTAGCGACTCCACAGACTCCAGTGAATCCAATGACTCCTGGAAATCCGCTAAGTGCTCCGATGAATGGAGGTCCAATGAGTCATCCGATGGGCCCCATGAGCAGTGGCCCCATGAGCAGCGGCCCTATGAGCCACCCCATGGGTCCCATGAGCGGTCCAATGAGCCACCCGATGATGCCTATGGATCCAATGATGATGCATCATCCGTATCCCCATCCCCAGTCGTATCCCCAACAAAGTCCTCTTCATCCGTTATCATTTAATCAGCAACAGCCATCGAATCCGGCGTCGAACAAACGGAAAGCCACGTCGGATAATTTTGGAGGCGAGGGACCATCGAAACAAGCGAAATTGGACGATGGTGTCGCTTCGGAGAACGATCCGATGAAGAAGTTGGAGCAGATGGCGAATCCACAGAATTTTAAAAGCGCAACAGCGATTAATGATGTCGTGGAGGCTAATAAGAAGTGAGTGTGAACCTAAATTTTTGAAAAAAAAAGAGCCTAACGAGCATCGAACAGCCACCTGCTAGTAACAGAAAGTGCAGCTGGCAATTTTCCTTTTTTCGCCACTAAAGATCCCTTTAATGATTTTCTTAGCAAAAATTTTTTTCAATTTTTCTGAACACAGAGCTGCGGCTTTTAGCTAATTTTAATGCTAAAAATCGATTTTTTGCAGAGACGACCGCGCGCTTAAACTGGAGAAACTCGAAGGAATCGAAAAATCCGTCGAGGAGGAGATGGCTCAACAGATGGCCCGTGACGCTCAAATCAAGAGAATGCAGGCAGTGGCGGGACCCCAACCCTACCCTTCTCCAGGACAATATCCGGGAACATTGCCCCCAGGAGCCATGCCACCGTTCCCAGGAATGCCACCACATCCTGGTATGCCTGGAATGCCACCAATGCATCCTAACGGTGCTCCATTCTCCGCTGGCGGTCCATTCCCTCCATACGGTCATCCAATGTACTCAGGAATGACGCCAGGTGGATATCCAATGTCGGCGCCTGGAAAAATGCCATTCCAATCGCCAAGCTTCCCAACGCCACCGGCTCCAGGAGCCCCATCGCCAGCGCTTGCGAACCAACCAACAGCTCGAGGACCCCAACCAATACCAACGCATCCAAGTATGATGACTCCACAACAACAGCATCATCATTATATGCACATGACGCAGATGGCTCATTTCCACGCTCAACGTGCTGCTGCTAACGCCGCCGTTGCCGCTGGAATGTCTCCGAACTTGGCGGCGGCTCGTGCGTCTCCGGCTCCGGGAGCACAATTTCCTCCACAAATTCCAGTTAATCATCCCTCCCATCCAATGCATCATCATCATATAATGATGATGCGTCAGATGCAAGCACAAGGCG